GGCAGGTGCTTATGCCGCTGAGCCATCTCCCTGGCTGTCACAGTATATTTTGAGCTATTACCTCTGTGAAAAAACTAGATATCCCAGCTTGACATGAAGCAAAGTGTTCTCCAAATTTTCTCACATAATCTAAAATGCAAAGTAAAAATGATTCAGGATTACACATTTAGGTAAGAACAGAACGCTCCGCGATTTCCTTTCTAAATCCTTACAAATATGCCTTCTAAGGTCTACATTTTGTACTATCCCATTTCTGAAAACAGTAACTTATATAATCTAGGATTACACAACCCTCTTATTAATCTTCAAAATATCTGCATGAAATGGCAATAAAAGCCAATCTCTCTCTGCCTCTTCATAAGAATATGCAGCGTACACGCACACATCTGTCAAATGAGTAAGATGGAGGTAGGACTCGAAGTTGAGCCCCCCTTTTGTTTATATATTTAAGGTGTACAACATTATGTTCTGTGGCACAGATACATGGTGAAATTATTCAAGCAAATCAGCACATCTATCTCTTCATGGTGGCTTTTCCGTATTGTGGTAAAAGCAAACCAAATCTGTTCCACAGCAAATTTGCAGCACACATTGTACATTAACAATGGCGCAGGCTGCGCATTGGACCTCTAGATATATTCATCCTACATCACTACAGCTTTGTGCCCTGAGATCAACATCACCTCACTCCCACTCCCTTCCTCACCAGCATCACCTGCCTGCTGTTTCTACGTATTTAACAATTTTTGATTCCACAAAGATTATGGGCTGTCTTTCCTTGCTTGGCTTATTTCACTTAACATAAGGCCCTCCAGGTTCACCCCTGCTGTCACAATGTCAGATTTTCTTAAGGCTGAATGCTAGTCTGTGCCTTTGTGTGCGTGTGTGTGTGCATGCACCTACATGTCTGAATTCCTTTTCATTTGCCCGTGATGTGGCAATGAATCGAAGACTGCAGATATCGCTGTGGGCTACTGATTTCCTTTGGCTCATTTGATAGTTCCATTTTTGTTTTTTTTCTAGGTTACATTCGCACCAGCAGTACAAAAGTGTTCAAATTTCTCCACATTCCTTTCAGAGCTTGTTATGCTTATCTTTTCAATAAACAACCACTAGAATAGGTGAAGGATCCTACTGAGATAAGATTTGCATTCCCTGACAAATAGCAGTACTGGGCATCCTCTTGTGTATCTACTGCTCACAATTTTGATGCTTCATTTTAAAAGAAAGATATTCTTCCCTTTCTTTGCAACCAACTTGAGCTCCTTATATATTTTAGATATTAACCCCTTGTCAGTTACATATTTTCCCCATTCTGTAGGCTTTTCTCTTTACTCTGTTGACCATTTTCCCTTGCTGTGTAGAAGTTTTTACTGATGCAGATCTACTTGTTTATCTTTGCTTTCCTTGATTGACTTTTTAGTGTGATAAACAGAAAACCATTTTCCACGCCAGTATTAAGAATTTTTTCCTGTCTGGTTGCCTCTGGAGTTTTATGGCTTCAGGTCTTATATTCTTTAATTCCATTCAGAGCAGGTATTTGTAGATAGTGTAACAAACGAGGTTTTTCTAAAAAGAGTTCAATTTTATTATTTTGCATGTCATATCCAGTTTTTGCAACAATTATCAAAGAAATGTTTTCCAAGATTTTTCTCAGCTGAAAATAACAGTTAAAAATCCAAGATGCAGTCTCTTATTACAAAGCCCTCATGGAGAAAGGCTTTGGGGGTTCAGTAAGGGCACACAGCTCTGCTTCTTTGGAAGAACTGACATGAAAAGAACAATCATGATCATGAATTTTGGGCTTTGAAAACCTAAAAAATTTAAGTCAATTGTTACATAATTTATATTATCTTTCTCTGCCATTATTTTTCACTCTTACATTTTGCCTGATCCTGTACTTTACAGTTCTGGACATGTTACCTTTATGTCATCTTGATTTTTTAAAAAAGAGAATACAAAAATAGAAGTGATACAAAATTTCATTAAACATGGTACGGACTCAACAATGGTTATTAGTTTACAGGGTCTTACTATGCAGCTCAGACTCATAGTGATCCTCCCATTTTCAGTTTCCCTAGCACTGGGATTACAGGTGTGCACCACCACACCTGGACTCAGTGGCAGCTCAGCTTGTCCCAGAGGCAGGGCCGGCACTGCATGCAGGACTGAGTATAGAACCCTGGTCCCTCAGCTTGCCAAAGCTGGAGCTTAGTCCACTGAGCTATCTCACCAGCCCATACCTATATATTTCTTTTCCCCTCCTTCTTTCTTTTCTCCTTTCATCCTAGTTATTCCTTCCCTTTGAACAGTTTCTTTTCCTTTAACAGTATCTTTTGTACCTTTCAGATTTTATGGACTCTGTCATCTTGATGTTTTTTGTAAAATGGCTATGTGTATCTGAGCAAAAATATATATTTTCTGCAAAAAAGTCTAAAATTATAAACCAACAACTACACAGCAAAAGAGGTTAATAAGCATACAGAAAATTAGACTGATTCTACTGCATGGGTAATTTAATATTCACCTTTCATCTTCTTACATCTAAAGATAAAACAGTAGTATTTATGGTACCAGCTGCCTGTGACATCAAATCTCAGAGACCAAAGATGACTTTTTCATGTCTTTTGGAGACAGGGTCTCACTATGCGTTTAGGCTGGTTTTGAGCTCATTTTGTAACCTAGGCTGGTCTTGAACCTGCAACAATGTTCCTGCCTCAGCCTTCAGAGTACTGGGACTATGGGCTTGTACCACTCAGTTCAAGATGTCAGTGTATTATTAGAGTCAAAAACTGAAGTGGAATATTTGAACACATTTTTGCCAATGAAACAAGTTTTCTTTGGTTGTTAGGGTTTTCTTCCCGGGTTTTAGGTATAAAAATTAAATACTAGCATTCATATTTTCTTAGACCAAGAGTTTTAGTGTTGTTGTAGACGTCACCTCAAATGCTCAGACATTTGCCATGACTTTGGCCCCATCTGTGTTTATCATGTAGCTGTGTAAGTGATGTATAATGTAGAATTCTCATGGGAAAGGTCTTGCACACTTTAGACCCAATCTCTTGCTATTTCAAGAAACATATGAACTGGAATAGAAGAGATCTCTCAGTTTATTTTCACTTACATTTGAGATAGTTTGAATTCTCCCAGAAGCTGAAGTTAAACCAAGAAACTTAACCTTTCTCTTTCCAATCAAACTTTCTAATGCAATTTTTTGATTTTTAAGTGTCCTATATTTATTGGAGACTAGACTACTCACATATGGACAATAGTAAATTTATTGCAAAAGTGGAAAACGATCAACTACCTTCCATAATTACTCAGATTAAACTGTAAAATTTCTAAACCAAAAGCACAAACATCTTATGAAAACTAATGCTACTCATAACTGGATTAAAAAAAAAGAAATGCTTTTAGTTGAAAAACAAAAAACCTACTTCAGAGGTCCCCTCTTCCTCTTTAATCATGCAAATCTAAAACTTTAAAACAACCAGAAAGGTATTTGCTTCCTTTTCTCCATGTAATTGATATCAAAATCAAACCTCACCTTGGTAACAGGGAGCCATTCTTTTACTGAGTTCCGTCCGTAAATCAGAAGGTATCCCATAGCAAACACCAGTGGGGAGCTTATTTTCATTCTTTATATAAAATATATTTTTCCATCGATGCCCACAAGTCTGAAAAATAAGTTAGACCAAATGGTGTGAAAGTTCCACCTGGCACATCTGAGTACAGAACTGTCCGGGGGGCTGATTCCAATACCTACCACAATGGACCCATATTCTCCCGGCTGTCTGGAAAGGGTGACCCCCAACCACTGATTGTCTCTTTCTTCCAAACAAGTCTTTCCACAAGGTTCTCCAGCAGGGCTACCTACAGCATTTGAAAGGAAGCTTAGCATGAGATTCCTTGAAGACAGTGTGACTTTCACAAGAGTAAAACAAGTAAATCTGGGCACTCATCTCCTGTGTTTTTCCTTCAACTGCTTTTTCCTTAAACTCAGTGTACAATCAGAGGGTATACGGGAGCTACTTAGTGCTAACATAGCTGGTTTCTCATACAGTGTCATTTTTGTTTGTGAAATGACCAAGTTGTAAAGAGCTGGCTTCAGTAGTAAGAGACGATAGCTACAAGTAGGACAGCAAGCCTACCAGCAAAACAGCAGGGGCTACGCAAATCTAGCTGTAGTGTCTCAGGCTTAGAAAATGATTTGCACTCTCGTCTTAACCCTTTATCTAGCAAGGTAAGCAGCAGCATCGGAGCACTTTTTTCAGTGTTTCATATATGGGGCTCAGCTATTAAGGCACAGCGTATTGGAGCTGGAAAGCAATGGTGACAGATACAGAAAGTGGAATGTATAATTCGCATTCTGATAATGCATAGCTTTTAAAAGGAAGTACCTTATGTTTTACATTCAGTGGAATGTGCCTCATGATTTCACCAAAGACAGAAAGATCTGGGAAACCACATTGTTTTAGTAGTAAATAAAATCTTTCAATATGCACTTAGGCAAATGTATAAATAGCTACAGAGACAAACATACATAAAATATTCATGCATAGTGCAATACTTTTAAATGCTACAGGAAAGTGATCTTCACAGTGATAATTTTCATCTGTGGACATGACTTCTTTGCTTTATGTCTGAGATCATATTAAAATCCTGTATTAAAGTGATTTCAAATCAATTACTTGGGAGAAGAATAAGATGCAGTATTGTAAGAATTCTCTTTGCAAAATTTTCTATCGTTAGGCACTTTGTCTCTTGCAGCTTTGGCTCTCTACGTCCCAGCCCCTGTCAGCATCCCAGAAAGACCCAGAATATCTACACAGCTATGGTTAACATTTTGGAAGAGAAATGGTTTGCACTGAATCAGCTGGGCAGGAGGGGGGTTAAGAAGCATGAGAAGACATCTGTGTATGCACAATACTTATGTATCTTCTACAGCATCGTGTGGGAGACACACAACCCTGCACAAGGTTGAACTGAAGAAAAGCATCCGAGATGCTCCTCTGGAGTCTGAGCCAGTTCTTCGGGTGAGGCCCAGACGCCCAGGCGGCCCTCACAGGCAAGAACGCTGTTACAACGGAGTATGGGGGGGTACATTTCAGATGAGACCACCTAACCAGTAATGGCTTCCAGGAAGGCCAGACTGAAAGCAGGAAGGTTACAAGGCCTGGAAAAAGAACGCAGAGGTGCCGAGTCATGTCTGTGCTTGGAACAGGAAAAGGGGCTTACTGCCCCCCAGACCTTGATAAAGGTGGCTGAGTGTATACCGATGGTTTTGTGAAAATTAAGGGAAGAAAGAAAGGAGGCAAAGAGAGGAGTGGGAAGGGAGAACAGAATTAACAGTAGATTCAGGCTACATGAAAGTGAAGTTTCTATTACTTACTGGAACTTTATCAATGTTGTGATTTGTGTTTTTGGTTTTTTTTAAGGGAAACAATACAGGACACATTTTATAATATTATTTTATACTAAATCACCCAAGAATCATATATAAGATACACACACTAAGCACTAATGAATCCAGCTGAGGGCCTGGATCTTAATACCTTGCATGGATCCAGCTGAAATCCTAGAGCTCATAACAGTGCCTCCCCCAAGTCAAGCTGGAGGCCTAGGACCCACAACAAATCTCCAGCAGGCTTGCTTCACAGATCTGTGCTGGAAAGGTCCAAAGGTCAGTGGTAGAAGTTAGCAAGTCTACGCTAGCGCAATGAAGGATCTATGCTAGCATGGTGAGGAATCAGAACTGGAGCTAGGACGCAACACCCAAGGTAAGCACCAGAGCTCCCCCAAAGGTACCTCAGCCATCCTCAGCAGCAGTGAGGTACTGAGCTCCTCCAGAGATGAGGAAAGCCGAGTTCCTATCAGAAAAGTCAATGCAACAAGCTTCTCTGTGAGGCTGAGCAGTGCACCATCTTCCCCTCCAGAGCCAGGAAGTGATGCTCAAGATGAGGACCAAAGCTCCTCCAAAGTTCATCAGGAAAGCCAGCATGTCAAGGACCTCCAGCAGAACAGCCCAAGAGAACTAGCAGCTTTCAACAGCGTCTCCTATTGTGCTTTATACATGACTGGCAACAACCCTCAGGTGGGCCTCCTGCCCCCATCACCATGCTAGTTCAATTCAGCTGAGTGTGAGAAGTTGCTCACCAGTTAGCTATCCAGCACAATCAATAAAATATTCTCTCTGAAAAGATCATAGTTTTCTAAAATTATAGTTACTCAGCTAACTTTATACTCAGATTGCTTCAGTTAAGGAGTCAAAATTCACAAATGACACCTGACTTCTTTCAAAATATGGCATACTAAGAGACCCTCAGTAACACTGCATCCAATATTTAGAAAGGAATTTACTCTTCCAGAGCTAACAGACCAAAAGTTGAAAAATCAACAATTAGTTGTAAACTGTAGTTTTAACTTAAACACTGTATAAGTTACTTACTGAAAATGACCAAAAAATTATTTGTGCATTCAAGCATAATGTAAGGTTATCATTAATTTCTTTGCTGGGCACTTCCTTAAATGTGGAATTGAAGACTAGAGTTGCTGTTTGGTGGACCTGTTTTGGGTAGCACTGGTTTCTCCCCTAGACATCTGTGACTCCACCAGGTGATGTCACAGCTGCACCAGCCACACTTACTGTCCCACAGCAGCATCACCACTTCCCTCTGCCCTCCTTCTCCACATGCTGAGTCTCTCCTGGACCTGAGAAGAACTAGCCACTACCCACCTAGTGACATAGGACAGCCTCCTGAGCTTACAAACATCCGGGGACTGTATGTCTAGTGTGGCTCATGCCCCTGTCTTCTCTTTTTTCCCCAATTCTGGATTAAAAAGTGATTCTCAGAAACAGAGAACAAACAGCCTTCCAGAAGCCACAAGAAAGATGCTTACCTCAGAACAAGTATAGTACAAGCTTCCCTAGGACTTTAGTGGTAGGCTTGACTCACCTGGAGGTAGAAGAGATTTCACTAGAAAAACATGTGCTGAGTTTGCGTGTGGGAAATACAGGGATGGGGCTAGCGGCCACCGTACATGCTCTCTCGTTGCTTGTGACCATGTGCTTCCAAAGGATAGATACCTTCTAATTTAGAGATATTTTTGACTCGTGGTTGTTTTTAAATATTCATTATACCTTGTGTGGAACCCCTTAGACTGCTTGAAGGCTCAGGGAGTCTAAGGACACCTGAGGACACGACCCCATTTGTCTAGCGCAGGCACACAGTGGGGTACAGTTCTGTAACCAGGCCTGAGCACAGATCAATACGCACGCATTGACTACGGTCCTATGAAGAGTGTAAACGTGAGATAACAGCCCACGTAAGAATTATGGAGTGAAGACGCCGGGGCTCTTGCTCTCTTCTGCTCTGCTCCATGCTGCCTGTTGTTGTTGCTGATGGCTTGCACACATGCATTCTTTAACCTTGGGCCCCTGAGCAAGCTGACACACTGTTAGTCTAATCTTGAACAACGGCGGTGGTGCTGGGCAATGCTATCAAGGGTCCTTAGACACACAGCACATAACCAGGCAGAGGAAAGAGAATGTGGTGGCATAACATCCTGCAGGAAGAAGCACTGCATTTTGGCTGGAGTGAGCTACATTTACTTGTTCTGTACAAGTACGCTGGCCTGCTTCCAAGGTGAGTGGTAGCGGTTCCAATCATCTTGGCAGGGGCCTTCTATTATTCAGCGTCCCACACCCAACACACAGCCCAGAAGTATATGCTAAGACGGGAGAGCCTGGGATGCCACACAGTCCACAGCTTTCACTGGGATTTGACTACATTTCTGTTTGTCACACATCTTAGTTTGAAATGTATATGCAACACAACGCAAAGGAAAGAAACAATCATGTTGTTAAACCATTATTTTCCCCCAAACACAGAATGAATCCAAACCAGTTACCAAACACATATACTCACGTTAATTATATTCCTCCTTTTTTCTTAACACCAACTACCACAGCAGCAGCCCTGAACCCATTGATAGTAATGACATTTTAGCCCCGGTTACAGGACAGAATCAGTTCCAGGAACACCCTGGAAGTCCTCCAGGACCATTCTGGGAGTTTCTTAATTTCGGAGCCCATTTCTCCCCTTTCGTTGGGAGGGCCTGCAGAATCTGCAGAAGCAGGCAGGTGACTTCCTGAACTTGGGCCGGGGCTCTCACAGTCTCCTGTCTTAAGGCTGCAGGCTCCGAGTTTCCTCCCTCAGCCTCACCTGGACCCTAGCACCACCTGGAGAGAGTTTTAAGCAAATACCAGCATCTGGGCCCCACTCACAGATTTCTCCCCTTTCGTTGGGAGGGCCTGCAGAATCTGCAGAAGCAGGCAGGTGACTTCCTGAACTTGGGCCGGGGCTCTCACAGTCTCCTGTCTTAAGGCTGCAGGCTCCGAGTTTCCTCCCTCAGCCTCACCTGGACCCTAGCACCACCTGGAGAGAGTTTTAAGCAAATACCAGCATCTGGGCCCCACTCACAGATGTTCAGAATCAGGGTAGACACCCCAGTATCAGAGCTTTACAAAGCTCCTCAGGCAGCTGTAGTTGGGCGTATAGCCGGGCTTGTAAGCAACTGCTGATGGCTGTGCCTTTTCCTCCATTATTTTTTAAAGACACCCTGTTTTTAAAATAATAGTAATATCTGTATGTCCTCACCATCAGTTCCAACTAGATTTTCAAAAAAATACCACATGTTGAGCAAATTTTCTTCTTGTATACAGCGTTTCTGATTTGGCCCAAGATGATGATTACTAAAAGTGTCCTGAGAAAGGCTAATTCTGAGGCATTTCCCTGACAGAACCCCACAAATAAACTCAGACGATCTCTCTATCTTAACACGCTGTCATGCTGCAATGATTTATAGTCTGG